TTTTTTTTTTTACATTTGTGTGAATTGTGTATTGTGGAAGTCAATTGGGGCTTTTATTCCGTGGCAGAAAAAGATATGAATCATGTTATATTCTGTAAAATATTTTAAATTATTACTAACTTATTTTACGCTGAGATATATGATACTTTTTCCATTTCATTGTGATTATGTGAAAGGATTGAAAGCTATTGATGAATATACGTATATCTGATTACCCCTGTGTTATGTGATATTGTAATGTCTTAATGTTTCCCATACATGTGTTTGTCACAATAATAGCTCACAAGAGCTAACGTTTCCTGTTAATATGTATGCGACTTTCAATCAAGTTTCTTGTCTCTTTGACGGTCAGTGTGAAGGAATTTCGACCGTGAGCATACACAACGAAAACGATGGACAAGATTGTGCTATAAATGACAATTTCCCTGCATATATATGCAGATTTTGTTTGTAACTGTATATCATGGTCTTTAGAAAGTCCTATTCGTGTCGATTTTATACAGTCTGTTTGTCACGATTGTGAAAGATATTATCAAAAAAACAACGAAGATATAAGAAGTAAACCACGTTGAGCGACGTGATCGTTTAATGCCCCCCCCCCCCCCCCNNNCCCCCCCCCCCCCCCCCACTACCCGGTTAATTGGAACTAGTTCAGTTTAATTACGTCTGTGTATAGGAACAATGTTTGAACCAATAGTTATAATATGAAAACATAATTAAAAGTTTTTTTTCACAATTGTGTGAATTGTGTATTGTGGAAGTCAATTGGGGCTTTTATTCCGTGGCAGAAAAAGATATGAATCATGTTATATTCTGTAAATAGGTGNTTCTGTAAATGGTTTTAGTACTTTATATTCTGTAAATGGATACTAGGATTATATATCCTATAAATGGTTACTAGGATTATATATTCTATAAATGGTACTAGGATTACATATTCTATAAATGGTTACTAGGATTATATTTTCTGTAAATGGTTACTAGGATTATATATTGTGTAAATGGATACTAGGATTATATATTCTATAAATGGTTACTAGGATTATATATTCTGTAAATGGTTACTAGGATTATATATTCTGTAAATGGATACGACGATTATATATTGTGTAAATGGTTACAAGGATGATATTTTCTGTAAATGGTTACCAGGATTATATATTCTGTAAATGGTTACTAGGATTATATATTCTGTAAATGGATACTAGGATTATATATTCTATAAATGGTTACTAGGATTATATTTTCTGTAAATGGTTACTAGGATTATATATTCTGTAAATGGATACGACGATTATATATTGTGTAAATGGTTACAAGGATTATATATTCTATAAATGGTTACAAGGATGATACTTTCTGTAAATGGTTACCAGGATTATATATTCTGTAAATGGTTTTAGTACTTTATATTCTGTAAATGGATACTAGGATTATATATCCTATAAATGGTTACTAGGATTATATATTCTATAAATGGTACTAGGATTACATATTCTATAAATGGTTACTAGGATTATATTTTCTGTAAATGGTTACTAGGAATATATATTCTGTAAATTGATACGACGCTTATATATTGTGTAAATGGTTACAAGGATGATACTTTCTGTAAATGGTTACCAGGATTATGTATTCTGTAAATGGTTTTAGCACTATATATTCTGTAAATGGGTACTAGGGTTAAATATTCTATAAATGGTTACAAGGATGATACTTTCTGTAAATGGTTACCAGGATTATGTATTCTGTAAATGGTTTTAGCACTATATATTCTGTAAATTGATACGACGGTTATATATTGTGTAAATGGTTACAAGGATTATATATTCTATAAATGANGATTATATATTCTGTAAATGGCTACTAGGATTATATATTCTGTAAATGGTTACTAGGATTATATATTCTGTAAATGGTTACTAGGATTAAATATTCTATAAATGGTTGCTAGGATTATGTATTTTTTAAATGGCTACTCGGATTATATATTCTGTAAATGGTTACTAGGATTATATATTCTGTAAATGGTTACTAGGATTATATAATATGTAAATGGTTACCAGGATTATATATTCTGTAAATTGTAACTAGGATTACTGGAAGAAAAAGAAAAACATTTTGTATGTATGTTTTATTACCTGAATGTTGATTTTTTATGTACATAACACAGTAACGTTACTAAGAGGATATAGGCCCTTAGTAACTTTTATCTATCGCACAATACGATTTCACCGGGAATGAAAGATCTAAACTATGAAAACAGACTGGGGATTCTGAAATTACCCTTCACCGAAACATAGAAGGTTTAGCGGAGATCTGGTCCAAGTATATAAATTATCAACTGGAGAATTTTTGATTACAAATAATAACAAAAGAACTAGAGGACACAGTCTGACACTAATAAAACGGGTAGACTAAATTTGAGGAAATATTCTTTCAGGGGGCAGATTGTTAAGCATTTGAACTCCCTTCCAAATGCCGTGGTTACGTCACCAACAGTCAAAACATTTGAATCCCGATTGGATGTACACTTGGGGCAAACTGAATGCTTTTTTAACCACGGGATAGATAATAATGAACTTGTTCATATTCGGACCGTTATCATATAAACTGATGTTAAACTTTGTGATCTGGGTATAAAGGCATTATGCCTGCGTCCAGTATTATTCTTCTTCTTATATTATTAATACGTCATTTAAGGATTAACTTGAATATATTTTTCATGTTATTGAGATATAACACAAAAAAACGGAGTGTACTCCAAATAAACCGCGAAGCTCCATAACATGAAAAATATATTCGAGTCAATCGTTATAATTTAATCTACTATACACAATCCCTGTGGAAATCCACTTTTACTGATGGACTCTTTTCTCTTAGAAATTATTACGCCGCTGTATTAGCCAATCAAAAGCGACGTTACAAACGGCGACTTCATTTTTTACGGTATGGGCTGATAACCTTAATCTTTAAGCCAATGAAAATGCTTGTTACAAGCAAGATTAAATTATTAATAAATAACAACAATAGACGCTTATGATTGCAGCATGTTTTCTTGGAATTTATTATCAAAATATAACAATGAATACTTCCCCAATAGAAGAATGTTCCCAGTCACGTCATGGACTAAAGATCAAGGTGTTATTCAACGCTGGTAAAGTTATAAAAGAGTAATAAACGAATCGGTCTTTTCCAACGAAAGTTTGGAAAAAGAAATTACATCAATTATAATATTCATGAACAGTAAATATTCTTTCATCTGCTGTATGAAATAAGGTTGCGTTTTTTAAAACAGTATCCATTAAATTTTTAAACTCCTGCTATTTTTAATCATACATTTGCTAGCTAAATGATGTTAAGCGTGGAATTGAATCAGATCATGGGGTAATATTCCTCCAGTGGGTTTTCTTCGTAATCAGCTCGCTTGTTCCAGCTTCCGCGTTTTGTTCCTTTGCATCTGTGAAAATATCAATATGAAAATACTTTAAAGTCATGTTCGAGATATAAATCCTATCAGTTCCGATTGATTCTGCCGCTAGAAACAGTTCTTAGTTGGTGAATATGAAAAAAACCCAACATTTTTATGCCCATTTCCCCCGGCTTTTATTTTAACACAAATCTGGTTTATCTGCAGTATACATGTGTTTTACATTTCACAAAGTCTTTTAATGCGGAAAATATCATTTGATGAGCTGAAGTTGAAAAAGGGATCAATAGATGTTCGCGTATTATGGTGGAATAGTGTATATCATGGATGAAAACACGTTTGAAATAAAATTTGCAAAGGCCGCTTCGGTTTGAATTGATTGATTTTATCGGCATATTCAAATCATGAGTTACATGTTCAGTGTAGTATACACTCATATGTTGATGATATCTATTCTAACAAGCAAAATGTAATGGAAGTGTGTTTTCGTGTCTACTTAGTACCTGTACTTCTATATGGTGTTCTCTGGATATGGTGGAGCATTCCATGTGTATGTTTAATGTTAAACACTAAATGGATGCGTGTGTATTATCTTTCAATAATACAAGGTTATTAGCCAATGGATAGTGTTTTTACATCGCAAATTATATTTTTTCTTTTATCTAATAATGTAAACCGAGCAGAATAATAATAATTAGCTAATGAAGTAATAAACTGGAACTACTTTTACTTCTTGGATTTTGGGTATATAAATCGTTGAAAACAAAAGTGTTTGTTTTGGAGGTTGAAATATAAGGACTGACCACTAATCGAAACCTCACATAGGAAATGTTATTGGTTGTGTAAAAATAATTTTACATAATCCAAACTTACCAACCTGAAGAAATAATTTGGGAAGAAACGGACTGACCACAATTTGAATTAATATATACCCAATTGGATGTTTGATCACCCCATCCCCGACGATGGTAGTAAGTATGAACATACCTACCGCCCGGGAACTACGTTATAGCCTCCTTAAACCAGATATTCTAAGATTGTAAGTCAAGATATGATTTATACAATGGTAACATAAAGCACTGTAGCACTCTTAATATAGCAATATTTCCCCTATTCATTTGAGCCTGTTTTTACGGCTAATTAGATTGTTGGATTTGCAGATGTGTCTACTACCTAGGATAGTCCATTGATTACATTTTGAGACCACACATCCTATCTACCCATGACTTATTTAGATACACCTGATACATGATCTTAACTTTGATTAGACGAAATATCATGTACCTGAAACGACCAATACGACATCAACGGAATAAGAAATATGATTAACATTGAACCTGATAATGAACACTGATCTCTCCCTTACAAGGGAGTACTCGTGGCGCAGGTTCGATAAACAGATGGATGGTGTTAATTAATTAGAGGTGACATTGAACATTTCAAGCAATCCAAACGTCAGATGGATGGGCGTTGATTAATTAGAGGTGACATTTAACATACGATACAGGTATCTTGTTTTGCTCAGGCTTTTACGTTGTAGCAACAATAAAAGGCCGTGTGAAGACTGGAACGACTGGAACGTGTGACGACAAAGAAGGGAAGTGAGAAAAGGGAAACAGGTATATCCCAAGTAATTGAATAGGAAAACAGATAATTTTTGTAGCAGAAAGCAGAAACTAAAGGTAAATCCGCGATCTGCAAGTATCCCATAATTGTGGCCTCGTATAATGAAATGCAGTGGGGTTACCGTAAGATATTCTTTTACCCTAACCCACAGAAGGGTGTGAGGTGTGGCTGTTGCTTTACAGGTATTTTAAACTTTTCGCGCAACGACTCCATATATCGTATGCAATCAAATATAACCTAGACTAAACATACGTTATTGCTTACATAATCTAACATTCGATATAGTCCTACCCAAGGTCATCCTCGATATCCAGGGGTTACGCTCACTTTCGCTCTCTACACCCGTGGAATATGTCATAGCGAAATTGAAGGCTTAGTGTGCGCCACCTTGTTCCCTTGATAAACATCAAACGAATCTCGCGGTCACGTAACGGTAAAAACTGACAGGCTTTGAAGTTGGGCGTCTCTCCTTTGTAATCTTCAAAGGTCAGGTATCATCCTAGCGATTGGTCATTATTTACCTGAGACCAATTAAATAGCTATCTTCGTGCCTTCAATTTTGCTATGACATTTTCCAGGGGTGTAGAGAGCGAAAGTAAGCGTAACCCCTGGATATTGAGGATGACCCAAAGTTGACGTAAACCTCAAAGTGATTGAGATTTGTTTTTTTCGCGATGATGAACTATATTATTGTGATAGAAAGGTCAGCCAAAAATAACCTTGGAGAATATGTTTTTTGATCCTTTTTATGATTCAAGAAAATAATCAAAATCACTTAATTGTCAACTTTGAATTGTAATATCCACCTTTGATGTAACATTGAGTGTATGAAATTCGAATCCAAAGACCAACTTCAGTACGAAACAGATTTGTTAAAAGATTGCTTCAGAATACATGCCTTGAAAACAGGACTGAATATGGGTTTAAAGCTTCCTCATGTTACAGATATGAGTTTAGTTACCTTTCTAATGAAAGAAAAAAAGACTGTTAACTAATCTCAGTCACAGTATTTATGAATAATTCGTAAAAATATAATTGAATACAGCATCTATTTTAATTTCCATATGAAACTAACGTTGCATTCACTTACAAAATAAGATCAGCCTTCAAAGTTGTCCAGAAAGGTTGATTTTGAGCTATTTTTAAATAAAAATCCCATTTCTGTAACTGGAATTTGGAAGTAGCATGAACAAAGGTTCAATTACACCACTTGCCGTTTTTGGTATGACATATCGACAAGTAGTCCAAACACTTGTGTGAAAACCTCTTCTCGTGCAATATTGACAGTACAGTAAACTGGCAAAGTCAACAATTCTTAAATACAAAAATGTTTATCATTTGCTTTTCCCGATTTCTGATTAATTTTGCCAGAATCACCATTTTGTTGTAATGATCTTGAACATAAAAAGTCGTAGAGCTTTTCAATTATATTGTGTATTCCATATTCCATCATTCTGTACTGTTAGTGCTATATCAAGTCAAAATATTTAGTATTCATACAAAAGACAAAAAGAATATAGATTATACATGCACTCATATTTGTTGTTCGAAGCATGATCATTTTTAATGTTCAGTCAAAACTGCACGAGACAATTTTCCTGAGAGACAATCTATCTGTGGCCCTTTATTTTGAATTCTACAAATAGAAAATAATTTAACGAACATTTTTAACATTTTCATGTGTTTGTTTTAAGTTGCATTAACGGGCAATTCAATTCGGTTAACAAACCCCCAGCTCCAATTCAGTTTAGCTGGGCGACTTTTAAGGTTGATTGTAATGTTGCGAGAAGGACAACATTGGTCACGTATGGAAATGCAAGGTTAGTGAATGACATTTTCTATCATTGGAGTAGAACAAAAGGAATTTCTTCAACTAGAGTATGTTATTTAACCATAATTGTTGTTTAATATTTTGTCAATAGAATGAGTCACATGCAATTTTCGGCTAACATATACCCTCCTAATTACTTTTATTTTCACATACCAAATGTTACAGACAATGAACATACAAACCTAATACACTTCACATTTGAACAAATATTTGATTTTGACTTATTTTTCTTGATCCAAAAGAGGGTGAAATAAGCTTTGGTTTTGGTGTCTTTTTCTGTTAATATAAAGATCATTGTGAAATACAAAAAAAAAAATCTGTTCCGATTAGTTTGATGTTAAATGTATCATGTTAAAAATAGGAAATAAATTGGCCAAGCTGATCGTCTTTACCCACATTGAAATGAAGGACACTAAAACACTTCTACATCAGCCACTTATCTCAATCTGTACTGATGATGTGATAAGCTGTATAATACATGTGACGATTTACATTTTTTTTGATAGTGAGCTTTCCCTTTCTTGATATAAACATCCATGCTTTGTTCTCCTATTGTGTTTAGATGTTGCAGTTTCAGCGTTATAAATGGGGTTGGCGATATATATTTAGGAAGAAGTGAAATATATATTTTTACGAGATAAGGGAAATGTAATATGCTGTATCAAGTGGTGGGAAGGCAGACAATGAAACAAGGGTTATTATTTTGCGGTTTGCAGAACGTGTTATACTACGTACATACTTTTGTTTTTCTCTGAGAATTTCTGCCTATTCCAATCACAATCCTTTCTAGACTTACTTTGCGTTCTTAACTCCACATCCGGGTGCGCATGAACCAAGAAACTTGTCGCAGCATCCTGTTCCCGTCGTCCGTTTACACAAAATTAAGTCTCTCAAACACATGAAGTAGCAACTTCTTCCTGATGTGGTTGTCATGGACGCCATGAATACTGCAAGCGCCAGTAAAATGCAGAAAGCCTTCATCTGAAACACGATAGGATAACACAGTTCGAGATTAAAGAATTTCAGAGTAATACACCCTTGATATTTTGGATAAACGACATAAAATTATTTTAGCATCAATTTTCAAATAGATATTTTTTCCCTCATTATAAAATGTTAACGAAATTATTCCCAGTTTATATATTTGGTGGTAAGTGTCATTATTGAATCGCCGACTGTGCCAATAGTAGACATATTTATCCGATAACTATTGGCCTTTTAGGCATTTTTAGAGACACTGTCGTCTGAGTGTGACCAGTTGCTATGTTGCGTTGCTATGGCGTCACAGAACATCGATGTGTAACCTAGTATATAGACTATTGTCTGATGTAATTCCTGTTGTCGTTACTATGGATTTTGTTTTCATGCCGATGTTGTTCGAAGAAAAACTATTTTGCCAAAATGGGGCAATCGGAAACCGTCCGGGAATATCCGTCAAAGTTTTGATATAGGTTATAAAAGTTGTGCCACATTCGCTTATCCTGGTTGAGACGGTTCAGGTGGTGAATAAATATTCGACAATAAACGATCGCACTTGGACCGAACTATAGGAACAGCTTAAAAATGCACAGCTTTAGAGAATGAATAACAATTTATCAAGAATAATACGTCTTTCTTTCACGCGTCCACTTCATTTTTTACGTATCTTAAAATCTACATGGGGATTGACCTTTTCTATAACGAAATAACGCAAACTAACAATAGTCACCATTTTAGCTCAATCACGCACGTCTTGACCCCTCAATCTACACGTTCCGAATATTCATGAGGTTAGCCTCGGTTCCGATCTAGACCTCTCGTTTTCTTTAAGTTTCAACCGTTCAACTGTTTGACCGGATACGCGACAGGGGCCTTGGTCTTGATTGTTCAGGTATACACTCTGTATGAAGGACGGAACCTGAAAACCCCCGGATGGTGAAAGGTAATATGCTTTGATGACAGCATTTTAAGTCAGTAGGGTTATTAAGAGACTGAAAACATTCAGGGAATTAAGCTCAAAGTTTAATTAATTTGGAGATACAATATATACCAGTACAGCAGAGTAGTCAAAATAGCTCTGTTTGAGGCCAGGATACCGCCTCATAACAAGCATTATTAATTAACTAATTGCATATTGACAATAATATGAGAAAACTGCTTCATCAATATCATAACAAAACTGGGCCAATATTGGATAAACTGGGCCAATATCGACGAACTGGGCCAATACGAGATAAACTGGGCCAATATGACAGACCTTGGCCTAATAACTGGGCCAATATGGAATCAGCTGATTAAAAACCCTATAATATTTAGCTTAATTGCGGTTTAAGTCCATAAAACAATTCCTGTCTAAAATACTGGTCATCGGGCGTTATCCTGGCGCAAAAGAAGGCTGTGTTGACTTGTTGAACGTGTCAAAACATGCAAAGATCAAGTTCCCTGTGAAAATACTACAATTTTTCTATTGCTTTATTAGACGATATAATGAACTTTATTATGTTATGAAGATATATGGAGCTGACTGATGCTTTATGTATGCTAAGTTTGTTTTAAACAAATATAGTAATTGAAAACATATTTTGAGACAACGATCATTTGCACTCTTTGCTTGACAAAGGAAATATACTTTTTCGAAAGCTCGCAAAATAAGTCTTCAATAACTATTTGTGTTTAAATCTCATCCCGAAGCCGACTACTGCTTGTTCCTAGCCATCGTCACCTATACCACAACAGAACGACTCGAAACCTTATCGTAACGTTTGATAGATCATTTTACATCCAAATAGATGTATGGAATTCAATTAGATTCGGTTTAACAGACAGGAATGTTCCGCCAACAAGTGAGCGCATGTACTTTAGGGAACATGTATAACAGTCTATCTTACTCTAGTAGGCCTATGACGTCTCTCTCGGTGGACAGAGTAAAATAAAGTCTTCTTTATATTCAAAATGCAACACAATTTCAATGTAAAACCAATTTCAATGTAAAAACCAAACATAATGCCGTATTTGACCTTCTGTTATAGCTACTGTTTTAACAAAACAATCAAATTTTCACACGTGCTCCTCTATCGATTCTGAAAAGTGAACTTTGTTACGGCTGTTTGGACTTTGTACCATTCTTACAAGTATGATATACAAGCTTCGTGTATGTGTATATATATAACACATCTTTACGTCATAATAGTTGCATTTCTGTTGTAGGCTTTATCAAGCCACTTTAACATTCAATACCAAAATAAAAGTCGCGAACGCGTGAGAGATATTTTCAGTGAAATGGAGATATCGTGTTATCAAAAAGAAATATTTGTAGCAAATTTCAAATATCTGAAAGAAATTGAAATGTCTCGAAAGCAAATGTAATACATATATAGTGTAATATCTAAACGAATTGAAGATGTCTTCAGATGTAATATTTGTTGGGATATATCTAAACGAATTGAAGTTTAATTAAATTATGTGTGATTTTTCGATTGTTGAATTGAATACGTATGCTTTTGCTACTTTAGAGAGTCAATGGAATATTTAAAAGTGTAAGTAATCAGGTAATGATATTTTGTAAGAGTTGTTAGGCCTCGGACTATAGTATTGGTCCAGACAGCTGATTGTGCTAGGACCCACATCAAGGTTGTGCACCTCACCTCCTCTCAGATGATATTAACTAAAACTTCTAGTATTTAAGGGAAAGGAAACGCGCAAAACATCCACATTTCTTCATTAATTGATGTTTCTATTTATATTAATTCAATTAAATTTCGAATGCTATAAACTTACAGGTAATCTTTACTAGGTACGTTAAAACACTAAGATATAAGCCCAAAATCGCAATGACGTCGAAAAAATATAATCAAAATGACGTACGAAATAAAAAAATAAAACCGAATACAATAAATTGAAAGATCCTATGATAAAATGCTGATATCTTGGGCGATTCGTCTCCCTATATAGTTTATATACGTGGGTTGATGAGATGCGCATTTGTAAAATGGTGCTCAGCTACGCACCTCGGAGCACCATGGACATTTAAGGACGCTATAGAGAAAGAGTACTCCGAAGCACTCGCTATTCATCACGTCTCACACGAATTAACAGGGAAACGTTCTCCTCAGTTATCACTGAGTTTACGTTTGACATGTGACATCCGGGTCTCGATAAACATGCACCATTAAGCAAATGGCGGTCTGTGTGTGAAATAGTCATGCACGACTGTATGATGTTGATTTCCTTATCACGTGACACACCTGACCTTTATGGGGTGATGACAGAACGTTATGTCTCGTTTCATCATTCTAGAAGCTTTTCGTTAAGAGTACATCAGCATCTGCACCTGCAAGGCTGGTTACCTTGCCAACGACGTGTGAAATAAATATAGATTAGAGTGTCTCGCCGCGTATCACGCATCACAACGTGATGCATTTCAATTAATAGTGTTCACTTCGACACCATTAATGCCGATTTACTTAATTATTTTCCGAGACAGTAGTCAATTTCATAGAATCCCTAATACTTTATGTATAACTTAAAATGCACGAAACAAGACGATCATTACCAGTGACTTCTCTGTAATGGATGTAAAGCGTACTATATATATGCTTAAGTTTGTGAGGGTTTCATGAGCTATGAGACAGCATTCTGTCAATTTAAAGTGTCTTCATTCGGATTTGTCGACAAACTTGATTATCCAGGCACTGTGTATATCTTTTACACTGAGCATTGGGATTGAAGGCATAGAAAGTGCTCTCACCCCACTCCCGGGTCTTGTAATGGGGCGAGGGAGCGACTGACGCCAGACATGTACGTATATATATATATATATATTTCGATTGATAAAACGTTAAACAAGGATTTACCACCCATACCTTGTAATTTGATATACGCTCTAAATCAGGGCGAGCTAGTACATAAATGTAGCCTGATAATAACTTGTGTTCGATAACAGTAAAACAAATCTAAACAATGAATTTATGAAACACCAGCTGTATATCAGACAGTTTACACAATGTCAGAAATAGAAAGAAAGAAAAGAAAAAACGCTCATCACAACCACATAAATAGATAAAAAAAACTCATCACAACCACATAAATAGATAAAAAACGCTCATCACAACCACATAAATAGATAAAAAAAAACCAAAGCACTTGGTAACCATGGTAATCAATTACTGCATCTCACTGGCACCTGTCATGATGTGTTCCGACTTATTTGGAAAATAAAGTGTGAAAAATGCTAACAAGTCTATTCGGAACCAATGCACACCACGCAAACGTTCATACATTGTGTTTACTCTTACTGTGCTGAATATTTACGTACTCAAAATCATTTCGACTGCCATTATAGTCAGTTTCTGTAAAACTTTCAGCTAAGTCTTTGTCTGTAAACATGTCATTATAGTCAGTTTTTTCATAGCCTGTCGGTAAAGTCAGATATGTAACCTTTTCGGTACAGTCAGTTTCTGTTTACCTTTAAGGTAAAGTATGTTTTTGTTTACCTTTAAGTATCGCCAGTTTCTGTATACCTTTAGGTAAAGTCAGTTTCTGTATACCTTTAGGTAGAGTCAGTTTCTGTATACCTTTAGGTAAAGTCAATTTCTGTTTACCTTTAAGTATCTCAAGTTTCTGTATACCTTTAGGTAGAGTCAGTTTCAGTGAACCTGTCAGTATAGTCATTTTCCTTAAACCTACCTGCATAGTCAGTTTCTCTTAATATTTCAGTAAACATTGTAGTAAGTTTATTTACACCTCTCAGCACGTCTTTGTCTTTGTAAACTATTGACTTTGAACCGTCTCTGTGAGTGTCGATTGTAGCATCATTCGAGACGGTCTAAAACAGTCTAAAATCATTATATTTGTTTTGCTTTCGTACTATTTTATCAAATGTGATTGGTACGAGAATATTGATCGATGCATTTTTCTCCCTGTTAACTTTACCCAAAATACAAATGTGAATTTACTCTCCCGCATATAAAGGCACAATCGTGATAAATTCACTGAAGTGTAGC